CCGCTTGAAACCGGGTTTTGATACCAGTGGTGGGCAATGAGATAGCCCTTTGTGTAGTTTTGAGCTTAATAACAAGCAACAAAACATTTGTGTCGATGCTTGAAGAGGAAACTGTTTGACCACCGCAAATATATATATATGACCCTATACACTTGCCGAATGCCAGAAAAATAATATACATATATATATCTATATATGACCCTGTACACTTGCCGACTTCCAGCAAAATAATATATATATATATAACCCTATACACTTGCCGACTTCCAGCAAAATAATATATATTACAAATTATTCATAAGAAACTGATACAGTCAAGTTTCTTACTTCATATGCAAACAAATCGTTGTTTACTTACCAATTCAATGTACAGGTAATTTAAAAATTAGATTTCAAACACTTTTAAAACAGCTCATAACAATAATATCATTTTTTCATACGCAACTTTACCCTCTGAGCTTCATTTGTAGATGCATAGTATCCTTATTTATTTTAAATCAATAAAGTGAGTACATCAATTTATCTTTTTTTGTGTATGTGCTAGTTGTTTTGCAGCTGAGATTTGGTGGTATTGTTCGTTTTGTTCAATGTTCGTCTGAAGTTTTAGTTGACCCATTTTAAAATACGAATATTCCTTCAAATTCAGCAACAGTTACTTCCCTTATACCTTTACTTGTTTCTAAACTACTATCCACATTCGCTACATAAAATTATACAGGTTTGAATTACACGCTTCCGTTCCTTTACTGAATGTATAAGTTTCTTATATGAGCAGTGTTTGATTTTATGCATCGGAAAACTATTTCATACATTTTTTTCCGTTCTTTAAATAGTGTAGTCGCTATATCTGAAAAATAAACAACGATCAACCTTAAATATGAAAATATGTGATCTTGCTGTGTAAGCAAAACTATTGTTAAGTAATTAAAATAAATATTTTACTGTTCTTCAGTTTTCAATAAAGTGTTTATAAAGTTAATAGCAGATGAAACGATTCAATAGTAATTTTTCTAAAAATAGTGATGAATGAATATATAATATGCAATCAGCTCAATGCCTTGGTTCATAGCGTATATACAATATAATTATCTAGTGGGCTGTTTACAACCGTATTTTATCATTCCGTGTGTTATTTCAATAAGGAAAATAGCATTTTGTTTGTTTTTAATCAAAGGAGATTGACTACAATGTATTGTTGACAAAAATTTTGTGTTTCGATGCAATAGGTGCATCCAGCACAATAGAGCGCTTATGTTTGCTAAGTAGCCACGGGTATCTGTTTTTCTGGATGCCACCGTTCCTTGTCATTTCACTGAGCGTCAGAAAAGACCGCTACCGAAGTGAGTGCTCTTTGACAGTTGTCATTTCTATAAGAAGGGTCAAAGCGGAAATATGCAATTGAATTCAATAAACTTATTCGACATGGTACAATATAAGCATGCATGTATATAATAGCGACGTAAAAATAAAAGAAAGATATAAACCGAACAACAACACGTTCCCCTCTCTATGAGTTTTTTTCCGTTCATGCTCCTATCTTCAAAATATTTTTTTCAATCAGTCGACGGAGAAAGTCACGTTTTTTATTTTGGTGAAATTCTCTCACAAAAAGAAACATTTTTATCTTAATAAGTTTTGTTTTTTTTCTCGGATTGACTGCCCAGCACATACGAAGACTGACAAATCAATATTGATAACGCTACGAAATTTTAGGATTTGCAAAGGATGAATAATTTTCCTGCAATGTACTCTTTAAAATAAGCATTTTGTTTGTTTAGTTGAAGTTAAGCACAAAGCTACACAATGGGCTATCTGTGCTCTGCCAACCATGGGTGTCGAAACCCGGTGTTTAGTGTTGTAAGTCCGCAGACATCCCGCTGTGCCACTAGCGGGGGCATTTTCATATATATTTTTTCTTTTCTATAATTAACCGTTCAGGATATACAGGGCGTGACAGACAGACCTTTGGCTATTGTATATATATATATATATATATAGATAGATAGATAGATTAGCTAACCTTGTGTCCCTGTATATAATTATTAGTTTTTGACAAAACATTTATATGGATATACCCACTTGGGCTAAATCTTGTTTATCCGAGTTTTATTTTTTACAACAAATATCAATAAACTAAGATGAATATGTAAACCCTTCATACTGTTCTTACAGAATCTGTATTAACACAGTTAGCTTCCACCTATTGCAACGCGTTGTACAGATTGAATATGACATCCGGAAATATAAACTGATAATACAGTGAAACCACATAGACAGTCTTGCTTCTCTAGTGAGTGATCTTTCAACAAGTTTAGAACAAGATATCATCTTTTCCAAATACGGGGTTGTTTCTTGTGAGGTTATGCCTAAACCTGCATATCTTTCTTTATCTTTCGTTTTAGGTTTCGCACGTGTTTGCCCGTGAGCAGATCTTATTCTGACGTAATTTTCAAACTATCTCCGTTGTTCAATTCTACAGTATGCTTCAGATTAAATCATTGAAATATTTCAATGCTTCAGATTATATCATTAAAATATCATGTGTATGTTTTTATACAGTCTTCTTTACTTTTATTTATTAAAATCAGACTAGATTTGTTGATAATAAAAAATTCTAACTGCCAAATTTGAGTCTCAACAGTAAACCATAGGTAGAGAAAAAGTTTAGCTTCTGTCTCTCAACCGTAATAATATTTTATTTCTCATTTGTGTAATGTCATAAAGGGTATACCAAATTAACTCTTTTAATCCTGACCTCACGTAGGCCAGAATATTGCTTTAAGGTTTGAATCATGTTCTTATTTTTATACAGAAGTCTGTGTTTAATTACTGCTTTTAGCTCTATCCAGCCGTAGGGACACAAAGTCATACAGACCTCATTCACGAGCTCGACAGGGCACTGCTTTATCAAAAACCGTAAGTAAGATAATTAAAAGTATAGGCCGTGTAAATAGAAGACTAATCTGTAGAGAGCAGTTAATGGTTAGTTCTGTAATCTGTAACTATGTAAAATACCAGAGGGGCAGTTTTTAATAAAGCATGTATAAAATTAGTAAAAAGCAATGCATATAATATTACATTGTTCACTGCCTTTAACTTATGTTTAGATAGATTTCTCTAATGTGGTGTTTTCTAGTCTCTCATCTACCTCTCTTGTTAAAGAAAGGTCGTTCCATTTTTCACCCAGCTTTTGAAGAAGAATGGTCTACTCTTCGTAGGTCTTTTAAATATAGGTGTTTGAAAAAAGTGCAATATAGGGAATTATAAAAGTATGTACGGATATCTGTTTTTCTCAGTGATTGATTACTTTTAATTATTTAGTATATTATTATATTGATCTTTACTGTTATATTGATTTCGTCGTCAAACACATTCGAAATTTTTAATAGAAAGGAATAGTTCAGATAGTTTTAGCTATTGTAATAAAGCCAGTTTTGTTGTTATATATTACAATGAACTTATTCACCAAGAAATATCCATTTAAAAGCTAGGACACCCAAATGACCCATTAGTATGTCCTAATTACTGTAAGTTTTATAATCTTTTAAAAGGTTTGGAGTATTACACTAATCATAATTCATTTTAATGTTAATTTTCTAAGTTCGTAAATATAAATATAATCTTCATTTGTTGTACACCCGCTCAGGAGATCTTAAAGTCAAGCTTGGTTTATAATTACACAAGTTTAGTTTATTTCTCTTTGATTACGGTAGCGACCTCTCGCGACACGGAACTGCAGACTTACACGATCTTTCGTTAAGACTAGAACTTTACTACAATCGGCACCTTCTGGACCAGGAGCTCTCTGACGATGAAATAAAAAGCAGTGTGGCTTGGTAAGTAATGTGAAAATAGTTGATATGTTAATAAAAAATCTCAGTTGTTCAATAAACCGTTGCCCGAAGTCATTGAGTTGAACGCAGCCTTTAAGACAAAAACTATATTTAATGAATGATAAAAACAATGTGTTTTATAACTTTATTAGCAGAAGATAATTTTGTAATAAAAAGTCTAAACTTTTTTTCCATTATTGCTAAAGGACAAAACCTAACACTAGTTTTATTGCAAGAAATACTTTAGAACCTCCTGTTAAAAAGACACCGTTTTTTAACTTTAAAAAAAGGGTTAAATGTGGCACAAAAACAACTTTAGGGTGTTCCTTTTATTATTTCGGTTTGTTTTTCTTCTAATGAGCCCTATGTTTTTTCTGTTATATAATTTCCAAAAACCTAAATCGATTGCATGGAATATTGTTTCTCCTTATTAAATGCTGTATGATATTCCCAGAAAGGATATAAGTAAAACTCGATATTGCCCTGTGGACTTAGATCTATGTAACTTATATAATGTGATATACACCCAAATTGTATAGTTTTACTTAACTGAAAAAAAATAACGTGATGCACCCTAATTCGTATATTGTCATCTCAACTTGAGTAGTATTACTATATGTAACTGATAGTGTGATATACCCATAACCCGTATACTCTTGCGTGAATTCGTGTAGTGTCGTACGTAACTGGTATAATGTGATATACACCGAACTCGTGTAGTGATGTTCGTGATATGATATGAGATACACCTAACTAATGTATTGTTGTGCGTACATTGTTGTAATGTGATGTGTTCCTAATGTGTATACTCTCGCGTAAAGTCGGGTATTAATGTATGTAGCCGATATAAATTAATACATGCCTAACTCGTGTGTTGTTGTGTGCACTCCTGTAGCGTTGTACGTAATTGATATTATATGATACACATCTAAGCCCTATACTTTCGTATAGGCCCATCTCTATCGTATAGCTCATCTCTAGCTAGAATATAAAGCTAAACTGTCACATCTTTTCTGCATCCAACCCAAAGCACGTACTAGGAAATTTAAGTTGATTATAATGTTGTGTTTGTCATTAGAACATCTGAATGTTTACATTGTTGAAAGAATACGAATTTACATGTTTACTGCATCATTCATACATAACTCTGTGTTGAAATTAGTTAACGTTATCACTAACATTCGACTTTAAAGTACAAAACTGAAGTCATCTAATTTTCTGTTAATTTAGTACAATAAAGCCACTTAGTTTATGTAATACCATTATATATCAATATACGTCTGTAAATTCAATTATTTTCATTTAAGCCATTATGAAAAATTCAACGACTTACTGTGTTAAGCCTAATATCAAAAATCAATAATTTTGTACGTTAAACACGCTCGTTACATAATTTATTTCTATATTAAATATGACAGTTAAGTTAATTTCTTCTGTTCTATGTAATTCAGTGTAGTAAGTTAATTGTTGGGTTAAATTTATTTCTTAATTCCTTGTTTTTGTTGTAGAAACCCCCACCCCTCATTATGATCAGTCATTTCTGTGTTAAACGAAGTTGCTATAACTAAATGTACTTTCGCAAGGTCCCCGAAAGTGTTTTGTTTCAAGAGTAAATAAAATCAAAATTAAGAGTAACACATATTTTTTATTTCTTGCTTTTCAAGTTCATATGTCATGCTGTGTTGTAGCCTACGGAATGAATAATTCTTCTCGCAATTCATGGAATACGCACATTTTACTGACGTCATGACAGTACAAATTGCGACGTTAAATGTCCCTAATGTAACATCATTTTAGTGTCTACTGACTGACTGACAAACAACACACTACTGTATAGTAGTGCGACTGGTTAAAACAGGTGACCTTCGGCCCCCATTCGGGGAAATTATCTTTTTATTGTGTTAAATGTAACTGCATTCTCTGATATTTCTGGACTGTCAACGTTTTTCGTAAATATCTACTTTAAGAAGTAAATCATATTTATTATAGTAATTGTATCTGTCTGTATGACTCTAACCTGTGACCCGAGGTTTCACAATATTGTTTTTTGTTAGGTTAGTTTGCGCAAAATATTTGATTTCTTTCATACTTAGAAACAGAATTAGTTCAAAGAACATAATTTTCTAAACAACATTCACACTGGTTTTTGGAAACAGAAGTTGAAGTCGAATGTTGTTGTATCAGCTGTTTTATTTAAAGCTAATTGATTACATTTATATCAATAATGTATCCTAATGTGCAGCTATTTTCTTAGAATTGTTAAGGCTGCACAACCTCTACTATCACGGGGGTTATTATTTTCACTGATGATAAAACAACGTATAATAATAATTCAGGTATTTTTGAATTTTTCCTATACTGAAAGTTAACAGTTTGTTTGTTTGTTATGGA